AAATGGCGCGGGAGTTGTCTTTTTTTGTCGGCGCTCGGCGCTCGGGGGTCCCGTTCCCAGCCTCGGAACCGCCAACCAACGGAAAAGACCGAGTCGTCGGATGCATGGGACTGGCCCTGAGTCAGCACTGCCACCCCCTCCGTCCTCTCGTCTCCCCTGCCATCCATCTGCGGGCCTCTCGCCTCCCATCCGCTCTGTGCCCGAGTCCGCTCGGCCTCTCTGGCAGCACGTTCTTCCATGTTTTCCGCCTCCCCGGTCCCTTACGGGGCTGTGTTTGTCTGTGCTGTCCTATGTTTTCCTATGTTTTTTCTATGTTCTCGGGACGTCAGAGAAAGGCGTGGGGGGACGAGCTGGTCCAGCGGAGCCCCAGAGCATACAGGGCTTGAGAGGACGGACTCAGCGATGGTGCAGCCAACGCCGCGAGAGAGGAAGCTTGTCTCCAGGCCAGTGCCCCCCTGGAGAGCCTCGTGAGCTCCCGGGGCCTGGCCAGGCCTACGGCGTCCAACGGCGAATCACTGCCGCCCCCTGCCTTTTGGAATCGCCCATGTGGCTGAGCAATGTGGCAAGAGCTCTGCCAAGCTATCGGACCATGTGTTTCCTCAACCGTTGGTGAAACATTTCGGGGAACACTTGGGGGAGAATACCGGGGAAGATCAGGAGGCGGAGGAGGAGGAGGAGGAGCAGCAGGAGGAGGAAGAGGAGGCATCTTGGGAGCCTCTGGGGGCACTCTTGGGGCCTCCTGGAGCTTCCTGGGAGCCTCTTGGAGACATCTTGGGGGCCTCATTGGGCCTCTTGGGGTCCTTTGGGGATTCTCGGTGCATCTTTGGCCGCCTTAGGGCATCAATGGCCCGTCTGGCGCCGTCGGAAGCCGTCTTGGGGGCCTCTTTGGGCCGACTTGGGGCCCTCTTGGGGTGCTCCAGGGCCGTCTTGGAGGCCACCTTAGGCGTCTTGGGAGCCTCTTGGTCCGTCTTGGGACCCTCTTGGGGCCGTCTTGTGGGTTTCTTGGCTCGTTCTGGGGCCATCCTGGAGGCCGCTCGGGGCGATCTTTTGGAGGTCTTGGGCCGTCACGGACCGTCGGAAGGCCGACAAGAAGCAAATGCCAAAATATTTTAAAAACCCCAGGACAATCAACGATATTGGCCTCTTCGGGCCTTCCTGGAGGTCCGTTTGGATGCCTCTTGGGCCGTCTTGGAGACCTCTTGGGGGGCCTCTTGGGCCGTCTTGGGCCATCTTGGGCCGACTTGGTGGGCTCCTGGCCCGTCTGGCGCTGTCGGAAGCGGTCTTGGGGGCCTCTCTGGGCCGACTTGGGGCCCTCTTGGGGTGCTCCAGGGCCGTCTTGGAGGCCAGCTTTGGCATCTTGGATGCCTCTTGGGCCGTCTTGGGACCCTCTTGGGGCCATCTTGGGGGCCTCTTGGGCCGTTCTGGACATGGATGCCTCTTGGGCGATCGCGGGGCGATCTTTGGGGGCTCTTAGGCCGTCTCGGACCGTCGGAAGGCCGAAATGCAAGAATCATTTAAAACTGTTCGGGGCATAAATGACTTGGGCCTCCTCTGGCCTTTCTTGAGGTCCTCTTGGGGGCCTCTGGGGCAGTCTTCGAGGCCTCTTCGGGGCCATCTTGGAGCCTTCTTGGGCCGTATTGGTGGGCTCCTGGCTCGTCTGGCACCGTCGGAAGCCGTCTTGGGGGCCTCTCTGGGCCGACGTGGGGCCTTCTTGGGGTGCTTCATGGCCGTCTCGGAGGCGACCTTGGGCGTCTTGGATGCCTCTTGGACAGTCTTCGGGCCCCCTTGGGGCCGTCTCGGGGGCCTCTTGGGCCGCGATGGGACCATCTTGGATGCCTCTTGGGCTGTCTTGGGACGATCTCGCCCCAAAAGAAGCAAAGACCAAAATCTCTGAAAACATTGAAGTAACTCAATTGTTTTGGCCTCTTCGGGCCCTTCTGAAGGACCTCTTGGAGGCCTCCTGGGCCGTCTAGAAGACCTCCAGGAGGCCTCTTGTAGGCTTTTTGTTCGGCCGTCTGACGCTATTTTGGGCCGCCTTGGGTGCATCTTGGGACCATCTTGGGGTCTCTTTAGGCCATCTTGGCCGTCTCAGACATCTTCGCCCTCTTGGAGAGCGTCGTGACCCGTCTTGGATGATTTGCTCCGCTTTGGGGGTCCCTTCCGGATGGCCAGCGGGACGGGCCGAAGTCCCAGGGGGAGTTCTTTTGGAAGGGGACCAAAACCAAACCGTAATAAGTTCAGCACGCTGGACACCCCTGTGGCAAGCCAACAGGGGACGGCGGACATAGTGGTCTTCGGCCAACCCCGCCGCCGTGCCCCGATTGCAGGTCAGAGATCTCTTTTGGGTCTCCTGGGGGCCTCCTGGGGAACGCAGGCTCAAATCTTAAGAGCTCCAGCGTGGTCCCTGCAACCTGCATTCCGTTGCAGCGCGTCCATTGCTGATTCGTAGCAGGGGAGTGGCAACACAGTCAACTTCGAGATCCGGATCTGGCAGCTGGAGTTTGCTGATGAGTCCCAGTACATACTCTTCCTCAGGCTTTCATTCGGGGAGTCAGGAGGGACCCAACAATTCGACGTCGTGTTTTGAGTTGTAACGTGCGGCCCCCAGACCCCATCGGCACCATCTCGGGATCCGGCTTTTCGTTTTGGTGTTTGTCCCAATCAGGCTTGCCTGGGCGTTCGCACCTGTGTGTGACGAACCGGTGGGCGCGCAGGCGTCCCAGGGAGGTTGGCCGTCTGCCTTGATCGGTTCCCTGGGCTTGGCCTGCTGCTGCCTTGATCGGCTACCTGGTCTTGTTCCTGGGGTTCCCCGCTCGTTCCTCGGTCTTTTGGTCTCGTTCCTTGCCGTCCTTTCTCGTGTTTCTCGGTCTTCTTCCCTGGTTTCCCGAGTCTTGTGCCTTGGGTCCCCCGGTCTCTGCAATGCTGAATACTATTGTCGAGCAATCCCAAGCAATGCACAGTAATGCAAAGCCATACCTAGCATCGCCAAACAGTGACAATCAACGGGCCCAAGCAATGCCAAGCAATGCTGCACTGCATCGCTTTGCATCGACCTTATCTTGTTGAGGTAAGCGGGTTCGCGCCAGGCTCATCATTCCGTTCTCCGGGTAGGCTTTGCCTGGGGGTCCGCACTCGTTTGTGAAGAGCTGACGGGCGCGCAGGCGTCCTGACTGTAAGGCCTGAGGGAGGCGGCCCTCGGCCTTGCTCGGCTCCCTGGTCCTGGCTCCCTGCTGCATTGCTCGGCTTGCCCTGTCCTGCTCCTTGGGTTAAGTCGGGCCTGTCCCTCTACACAAGGAATCTTCTTGTTTGACCGTGTTTGATCATTTTGGGTTATTTCTGGGGTATTCTCATTTTGTGGTCCGAGATCCGCCTGCAGGCGGACACGCCCGACCTGCTCCTTGGATTAAGTCGGGCCTGTCCCTCTACACAAGGAATCTTCCTGTTTGACCATATGTTTATCATTTTTGGTTATTTTTGGGGTAGTCTTACTTTGTGGTCCGAGATCCGCCTGCAGGGGGACACGCCCGACCTGCTCCTGGGGCTCTCCGCTCCTGCCTCGGCTCCCTGGTGCTACGTCCTGCCGCTACGCACGGCCGAGCAGTGCATCAGCGAAGGCCACGCGGTGCCCAGCGCTGCCAGGAGATGGCAGGCAACGCCAGGCAGAGCCGAGCAGGGCTCGGGCATGGCCAGGACCCTGGCTAAGGGGCCCCGGTTAATGGTAGGGCCCCGGAGCCTTCGAATTGGCCAGAATCACTAAACCAGGTTTGCCATAGCTGGTGTTTTCTCGGGTGACGGCAGTTCCGGTTAGTGGAAATGGGACGGGGAGGCGCCCCCGGTACAAATCACTAAACCAGATTCCATTAAACCCGGTTCTACCAACGCCCGGGCCCCGCAATGCAAGGCAACAGCAAGCAAGGCCAAACATCGATGCCAAACAACGCAGAGCACTGCCAGGCGAAGCCTAGCAATGACGAGCTACGCTAAGCAATGCCAAGCGACCGTTACAAGGAATGTCAAGCAGTGCCAAGCAGTTCGTTGCGTATAGCTCCCTTGGCATTGCTGGAAATTTCTTTGAATTGCTGTAGGAGAAATACGACCCCTGATTTTGGTCGTGTCAGGCTCATTCCGAGGCGCCCAATCGGTGTAATGAACATTCTGGGTGGTGAGTCAGTGGGATTTCGAGGTGACCGCACGCTTTTGGAACTCGGGTCGTTCTCTGAGGACGCCTGGGGCGACTGGGATCCCCGCGCCCAGAGGTCTAGGCTGATCCAAGCCGCCCAGATTGGGCCAGAGACGGGGTCGTCGGATCGTACTGCATCGCCGATGCATGCGCGATGTCCGGCGGCGCGCCGAGGGGGGAAGTGTGAGGGGCAGGCCTTCTCACATGGCGGCGGGGCTTCTCAAAAGCCCTCCCAGCCTTCTGTGAAGCCGCATGTGGCTTCACAGAAGGCCTGGAAAGCTTCCCAGAAGGCCAGAAGACTTCGGAGCTCGCTGAGAGAAGGGCGGCCTCCTCTGCCTTCCGCTGGGCGCGCTGCCGAGACGCGGCGCGATCTTGAGTCGGTTCTTCTCCACCCCGATGTCGCCGATGCATCGCCGACGCATCGCCGATGTCGCGATGCGGCGCGACCCCGTTGGCCTTGTGGCCCAGCTTGGGCGGCCACCCTCCGCGGAGGTCTCCTGGGCGTCTCCAGAGGCAGCCCCGGGAGGCCCGAGGCCGCGGGGTGCGGGAGCCGATGCGGGGCCCCCAGCAGTCCCGACCCTCTCCGCACGGCGGCCTCTCCTCCCGAGAGGTCCCTTTTTCACGGCTCCGGGAGCGCGGCCCAGAATCCCCATGCCCTCCGCCCTTCTTCTCATGTCTTCTCATCATCGTTGCCGCTTTGCGTTTCGCCTCCCGTCCCTCTCGCCCTCCCTCGCTCATGGCTCTCTTTCTTCTCAGTAGTCTGCTTCGCATGGCGTTCATGACAGGGTTGATGTCGGTTCCGTATCCGTGTTGGCTCAAGGCATGTTGTTTTGCGAGGGGTGGGCTTTGCTGGGCAGGTCGTCTTGGCTTGCCCTGCCGCCAGAGTTCCACTCATCGAACCAAGGGCCTGGAGGGCGAGGCGGGGACCAGGGCGGGGGCCTGGCAGGCGAGGGTGAAGATGGCCGAGGAGTGGAAGAGGAAGGCCGACAAGGCGGCGGCGATGTTGAACAAAATGCGGGAGGACTACTTCAAGGACAGAGGAAGACGAAACGGGAACAAGAACCAAGTAACACATCAGCCAGCCCAGACTCCAAATAGATGGAGGAGATTGCAACGCAGCAAACTGAACTAGACTGGGTTAGAGTAGAATGGACTGAACTGGGTAGGCTCTACTTCATTCGAATACACCTTGTTATATTACACCCGGCTCTACTCGACCCATCCACCCTACCCTGGTCTACCTTTCTCCACCCTAAGTCATTTCATTCTAACAGACTCTACTCCTCTCATATTCTAATATCGTTGAGTCTGCTCTACTCTACGCTACTCTATGATACCCGCTTCGACTCTGTCACCTACTCTATTCTACTCTGCGATACTCGGCCAGACTCTACCGTAATCTCCTCTGCTCGACTGTTCTTGCGATACTCGATTCTACTCCTACTCAATCCGCTGTACTCTATTATACACGGTTCGATTCTACCATCTACCCAACTCTGCCCTACTCGACCCGACCCTAACCTCATCTGCTCTTCTCTACGCTGATCCTGCCCTATCCTACCCTACTGTATCCCTTCTCTACTCCTACCATACTATATAGCATACTACACTGCAGCTCTACTCGGCTCGAATAGACTGGTTTATGTTATGTTACGCTCGGTTCCATTCTACCCTACTGGACTCTACTCTATTCTACTCCTACTCTATTCTAAGATTCTCTGCCCTGCTCAAGGCTATTATTCATTATTCGACTAGACTCGGACATGGGTCACCAGCCGTCTTCGTCGGACATGGAGACGGGCGAAAAACAAGAGAAAGAAGTAGACGAGGAGTGGTGCGTCACCGGCATAGGAACCAAACAAAAACACCCATAGGAGCCACCCACGGGAGCCGTAGGAAACACGAAACTAGCGCAAGGGCAAATTTGGGGGGTGCGGGTGGGGCGTAGGAGCCATAGGACATAGGAGCCGTAGGAGCCTCAGGGGCCACAGGAACAATAGGAACCATATCACCCACAGGAACCACTCATAGGAAGCATAGGAACCACGAGGAGCACGCAAGGGCAAACTTGGGCTGGACCACCTCGCGCGCGGCATCTCGGACCCCGGAGTTGCGACGGTGTCTCGGGCGAAACGTGCTGCGAGGAAGCCTCAGGCGAAATTGGCCGGACCACCTCGAGCGCGGCGTCTCAGAGCTCCGAGTTGCGGGGGCCTCCTGGGGCCTCCTTGGGACCTCCTGGGGCTTCCTCCTGGGCCTCCTGTGGCCTCCTGGACCCCACCTGGGGCTTCCTGAAGCCTCTTGGGGCTCCCAGGGGAGGCCACAAGAGCAGGAAAAACTAACGAATCGACGCCGGATTTGTATTAATTTGACACGTTCTGATAGGGGGCCTCCTGGGGCCTCCCAGGAGCCTCCTGGGAATCTTCTGGGGGCCCCTGGGGCCTGTCCTGGGCGTCCTGCGGCCTCCTGAAGCTCTCTGGGGCCTCCTGGGGCTCCCAGGGTCCCAGGGGGGATATGTAACATGTGGTCTTCTAGGCCCCCAGGCTGGACCACCTCTTGCGCGGCATCTGGGAGCTCAGAATTGCGAGAATGTTTTGTGCAAAACGGGCCGGACCAGCTTGCGCACGGCATCTCAGAGCTCAGAGTTGCGAGGATGTCTCAGGCGAGAGGGGCCAGACCACCTCGCGCACGGCATCTCAGAGCTCGGAGTTGCGAGGATGTCTCAGGCGATACGGGCTGGACCACGTCGCGCGCGGCATCTCCGAGGTCAGAGTTGCGAGGATGTCTCAGGCGAAATGGGCTGGACCACCTCGCGAACGGCATCTCAGAGCTCAGAGTTTCGAGAACGTCTCAAACGAAACGGGCCAGACCACCTCTCGCGCGGCATCTCGGAATGCAAAAGTGCGAGGATGTCTCAAGTGAAACGGGCCGGACCCACCTCTTGGGCGGAGTCTCGGGGCTCAGAGTTTGGAGGATGTCTCAAGCGAAACGGGCCAGACCACCTCTCGCGCGGCATCAGAGAGCGCAGAGTTGCGAGGATGTCTCAGGCAAAACGGGCCGGACCACCTCGCGCACGGCATATCAGGGCTCAGAGTTTGGAGGATGTTTCAGGCGAAACGGTCCTGACCACCTCTCGCGCGGCATCTCGGAGCCCAGAGTTTCGAGGATGTCTCAGACGAAATGGGCTGGACCACCTCTTGCGCGGCATCTCGGAACTCAGAGTTGCGAGGATGTCTCAGGCGAAACGCGCTGGACCACCTCGCGCACGGCATCTCAGAGCTCAGAGTTTGGAGGATGTCTCAGGCGATACGGGCCGGACCACCTCTCGCGCGGCATTTGGAGCTCAGAGTTTGGAGGATGGCTCAGGCGAAACGGGCCAGACCATCTCTCGCGCGGCATTTGGGAGCTCAGAGGTCGGAGGATGTCTCAGGCGAAACGGGCCGGACAACCTCTTGCGCGGCATCTGGGAATTCAGAGTTTGGAGGATGTTTCACGCGAAACGCCCAATCCCAGAAAACTCGGAAACGAGAGTTGCGAAGATGTCTCAGGCGAAACGGCCTGGACCACCAAATTTTTTGGAGGACGTCTCTGCTTTGAATTCCCTCGGCCGGGGTTAGCTTCTACCACAACAGCACCCCGTTCAGCAAGTTGTTCGGGGAATAAGTGTGACAAAAAAGTGTGATAAGGGTGATGGCACTTTCATGGACCTCTATCTGAAAAGTTCGAGCTGGTTTCCTAGAACAGCTTGTCTGTAAGGGCTTACACATCCAGTCCAAGAACCAGTAGGTGCGTTGCAGGATCCAGAAATTGGTCGGGCAGCGTTGCCTCCCGATGCCCTACGTGGCCTCCCATTGCCGTTCGTATCCTTTTTATCTTTCTATCACTCTCCCCGTTATCCCAATCTTGAATCCCCAGTCCGATCCCGGTCCTTATCCACATATCCCTATCCCTACCTCCCCAGCCCTCTATCCCTACCTCTATGTCTATCCAGAACGCCCCATCTTGGCCCCCCGTCGTGACCCCCCCCCCTGCCATCGTGGCCGCATCGTGGTTGTGTAGAATTGCATCGGGCCTTATGCAGCCAGGGTGTCATTTGTGGTGCGCTTCTGCTCTTCTGAAAGGAGCTTATGCATCTGCGGGAGCAGGTCTACCGCAAGGCAGGGCTCGAACTAAACGGTGTTTTATCAATTTCGTGGACCGTTTTCGTTTTGATCTGGTTTCGCAGTAAAGGCAGAACAAAGACAGAACGAGAAAACAAAACGAAAACAGAAAAAGCACTGCTTCGCTAGAGCCCTGCCGCCAGGGGAAGGCAAGTGAGGTAGGCGAACAGTTCCACCCAGACTACGCTGTGCACTTCAACCCCAGCGAGTACAGCGTGGACGTCGAGGTGCAGCGGCTTGTGTCGATCAAGGACCGTCGACACGCTAACGGCGATGTAGGCAACGGCGATGTAGGTGTCGACATTGTAGGTAGGGGTGGTTCGTGGCCAACCCAATTGTAGGAACGCATTGTTCGCGTTTTGGTTCCTACAATTTGTTCTGCGCGAGTTCGGTCGCGCAAAAAAAAACAGTTTCCCAGCATCGCCGTCAACCAACATCGCCGTTAGCGTGGCCCTGAGAGGAGATCATGCTTGAGCAGGAGTACGATGCCCGGCTTGGCGAGGTCGAAGTCGGCTACATGTCCAGGATCAGGGACTTGAAGGACCAGGTCTTCAGCGCGAGGTTCCTGCAGAGGAGGAACCACGAGCTCTTGCAGGTCCTCAAGGACAGGTTTGGCCTGGACAGTGCTGCTCTTCGGGGCATGCTGGAGAGTACGAAGATCAACGAGGAGAAGCTGAAGGCGCAGATCGAGGACCAGGCGGCGGAGGCCGAGCGACGGGCCGTGGAGGCGTACCGCGAGTCAGTCAGCAAGCAGCAGCAGCTGGAGCAGCAGCTGCAGGAGAAGCAGCTGGAGCAGCAGCTCGTGGAGCGGAGGCTGCAGCAGCGCCAGGAGCGGCGGGCCAGCACTGGCACGGTGGAGCTCGGCGCCAACGAGGGCATGAGAGTCCGGAGTGGCGGCCTGAGGAGGCGGTCCCAGGGCCCCGACGGCCACGTCCTCCACGCTCTCGAGGTCGCGGCGCGCGCGCCCCACGGGGCGGGCGACGGCTGGAGCGACCTGTGCGGAGAGGGCTCGGACGGCGTCGGCGAGGAGGCCGAGCCCGATGGCGATGGCCTCGGTGCCCAGGCACGGGCAGCTCAGCCTCGGCGACGCCGTCAGGCGCAGGTGAGCGGCGGAGCAGGGACAGATCCGAGCAGTCGGCAGAGCTCCCAGGTCCCGCTGATTGCGAAGGAGACGGCAGAGGTGGGCACGGACCCCCAGGCCTTCCACGAAGCCTTCGGGGCCCCACTGCTCCAGACCAGGGGCGTGCAGTCCGAGATCGACGGCCGGATGCTCGCGAAGGCCCTGGATGCCTTCGCCGAGTGCGACTGCGCCGTCACAGTTGCGCTGCGCGCAAGGAGTCGACTACACGTAAGATTGACCCTTCGCCGGAGTGGCCTTTGGTGCGGGCTCATCGGGCTCCCCCCGATCGCCGAGCGCGATGCGATATAAGCGGCCCGCGCCCTTGGGTTTGGCTCCCTCGCGCCCCCAAAAGCTGCGCACCAAAGGCCACTCTTACCCAGGGTCACTTTACGTCTAGCCGAGAGGAGGCCCGTCAGGGGCAGCGTGGGCGAAAAGAGCCTCGCAGAGGTGGACACCGACACCGCGGGTGCCGACTCCGATGCCGCCGCCGACGACACCGACCAGCGCCTTGCAGGGAGGACGAACAGCGCAGACGACCTGGCAGTGCCCTCCTCAGAGAGCGACGCCGTCGCCGGGGGAGGCAGCCTCGACGCCACGCGGGCGCAGGATGCCTCCGGCGGCGTGACGGGCGCGCGAGGCCCGGACGAGGGCCCCCCGCCGGCCTCCGTCGACGTCGGAGAGGTGGAGGCGCTGCTGCAGGAGCTGCAGCAGGCCTTGCCAGACGTGGGGTCCGCCTTGCCAGGCGGCCTTGCAGCAGGAGCTGCAGCGGCCGCGCGGTTGCTGGCCCTTCTCGCGCCACCCAGGACGGACGCCGAGGCCCAGGCCGAAACGCCGCAGGAAGCTACAGTGCCGCTTCGGCGGCGATGGCCGTCGCCACGCCTGGGCCTGGCGTGCATGAGGTGGCTCTCGGAGCTGGCCTGCCCTGAGCTGCGCTGCTTCCTGGAGTCCGCGTGGGAGCGCGCCGAAGAACTCGCCTCGGAGGCGGCCCCCAGCGACTCGTCGGCCATGAGGCTCTTGCAGGCCTGGCTCCAGGAGGGCCCATTTTCTGCCCCGCAGAAAGGCGCCGCTGCGCCACGCGGCCAGGCAAACGACGGCCGGGTGGAGCAGAAGCCAAGGAGTCCCGTGCGTGGGATCTATTTCAACTCTTTGGTGGCGTGCGGGGAGGAGTCCAGCAGGCGCCGCGCCTCCGTGGGCCACGAGACGAGCACCGTCCAGTTCCATACCAGGCAGACCGTTTGCCAGAGTCCCACCTCCGAGCGGGGGAGGAAGCTGAAGCACACGCTGACGCTGCCCAACCCGGAGCAGCCGCAGCTGTTGGGACTGCCAGGGATTACAGACGTCGAGCAGAGCACTGAGCCCGGGGCCGCCACGCTCTTGCCCGCCAGGGGGAAGAAGCTGAGACACACGTTGTCCAACCCTGAGCAGCCGGGTCTGGTGCCAGACTCCCGCCCCACCTCGAAGGCCTGCACCGCCCGCGGCGACCCGCAGGGGTCCAAGGAGCTGCTGTCGGGGCGATCAGGGCCACTGACACCCGACGACGCCGCACCGACCCCGAGGCACCACCCGCCTGCGCCTGCGGTGGGCAAGATGCCAAGCATAGGGTCGGCGCGGGCGCCTGGCGAGGCCTCGGAGCGCCGAACCGCGAGGAGGGCCACGATGCCGCCGACCAGTTCTGCCGCCGAGGCGCCCTCGGCCAAGCCGCCGCGCAGGGCGAGCTACACCATCAAACTGCCGACGGGGGCCCCGACGCTCGCGGAGAGGCCACGCTCGGAAGACTCGAGCGACAGCGGCCTCGGCCCGTCGGGCACAGAGGAAGAGCCACGGCTGGCCCCAGGGTGGAGCGGCGTGGTGCCGCCCGCGTCTTTCACCCCGAGGCGCAACCAGGAGGCCGTGGAGCCTGGGGCTGCACAGGCGGCCGCGCCGCCGCAGGATCCGGCCGCCGGCCCTGCCGCCGCTGGGCCTCCCGACAGGCCGCAGCGCCGGGCGGCCCGGGCGAGAACGGTCAGCCTCTTGTTGCCGAGCATCGCCCCCACGACGGACCCCGCCGAGACTCCACGGGCCCCTGCAGGCAAGGGCGCGGGCGGCGATCGCACGGACGACGAGCAGAGCGGCGGCCAGGCGCTTGCCGACGACGCCGCGCCGGGAGGCGCGGCCGGGGCCCTGCCAGGGCGGCCCAGCGGCAAGGCCACCCGGACGCTGCTGCAGCTGCCCGACCACACGGGGATGCAGATCTCGCTGGGCTCGAGCGGGTCCGGCAGGGCGGGTTCGCCCAGCGGCGCCCCCAGTGACCCCAGGAGCGCGCGGCGACGGCGCTCGCTGCCAGACTCGTACGTGTCGGCGGCCTCCCAGCCTCCCGTGCACTGAGTCATAGTTCTGCGGCTCGCGCTCAGGGGCCCAGCGGTGGGCCTCTGGTCCTGTGCCGCAGTGTGCAACGGCTTGTTTCACGCTCCGCCTCGCGCGCGGACTCTTGGGCAGTTGTCGACCCACAATTAAGTTGTTTCGAGTATCAGGTTAGGTGCGGCCACGGAAGGGCGTTTGGACCTTCACTGTTGGAGACAGTATTGTGTTTTCGGTGCTTCAGGCTCCCTTCAGGAGCTCCATGCTCCGCATGCTCCCTTATAAGTCGTTGACACCCTGTAACCCCTCTTGGGTACATCGTTGAGATGCCGCGGCACGGCGATGCCATTGTAATGTCCGCGCCAACGCGTGTACTGAAAATAGTTCGCGTCGTCGTGGACGCATTTCAAAGGGTCCATTCGCCCAAGTGTTTCGCGCGATTGCACGGCGACTCCATCGAAGGAGCAGGTTAAGGATGACGATGAGGAGCAGGGAGCAAGGATGAGGAGGAGGAGGCAGGAGGAGAGGGAAGAGGAGGAGGTGGAAGAGGAGGAGGATCCGGGAGGAGGATAGCGGCGAAGACGGCGGCCCTGACAATCACGAGGATCACAACGACAGGGGAAGAGGAGTAGGGTGTGGGGGGGGGGGCATGCGGGGCAGGAGCCGCAGTCAATCTAACCGGATCGAGCGAGCCAGCGGAGCTCACCCATGCTCACCAAGGGCTCCCACGAGGGCGCGAAGTTATTCGCGCTTCGCGCTTCGCGGTCCTCGTTCTTTCTCCCCCCTCCTCCTCGTCCTCCTTTTCTCCCTTTGGGGGGGCGGCGCGAGGGCGCGAAGTTATTCGCGCTTCGCGCTTCGCGGAGCGCGAAGCGCGAAGTTGACAATCGGGTGTGACACGATTTGGCATTCGGACTGGACTGCTCTCCCGCCTTGCGAGCGGACGGCGCTCACGATGTGGAGACGGGAACTTGGCATCGCTCGGGCGTGTACAAGTTCTCCAGCTAGGGACCATCGAGAAGCGTCTCGGATCATCTTGCGACCACCCCAAACGCACGAAACCGAAACACTGTACGGGGAATGGACGTCCGAGTGATGGCAAGGGCAAGAGACGCGGGCCATGCACGAACTGAGGCAAAGCTCAAGAAGATGTTTGCGCAGCGCTGCTGCGAGATCACCATTGGGCCCTCTCTCTCTCTCTCTCTCGGGCGGCTTGCTTTCCGATCAGCGTGTTGGAGACAAAGAACACGCCACGCCGAAAGAGCACTGCCACTTCGCACATTTTGTTTGGTCGGCGGCTGGGCAGTGGGTGACTGCTCCGGCGGATGGGCAACAGGGGAACACACTATATGCAAATTAAGGCAGCCATGCACGGAGGAGGAGGTTGAGCCCCGGTGCGACAGGAAGTGAGGAAGCCGGGCCCACTCAGAGCCGCCGACTGCGGCAGGGGGAGCGCTGAGAGGGGGAACCAGCGCCGGCACTGAGCTGCACTTAGCTGCACAGGCGCGGCAGGCAAGGGCGAGAACGCCAAGACCAGGGGGGCCTACGAGGTGCAGGGCGTGGAGGCGGGCGGTGACGGCTTGGCGAAGCAGACACAAGCCAGTGGCGGGAAGAAGCGGGAGGAGCCACGCCAAATGGAGGAGCGGCGGGCCCAGGGGAGCGGACAGGGCGAGCACCGAGACCACAGGGCCAACGGGGCGCAGGCCCACGGTGGGGCACGGTGCCACGGAAGCGGCAGTGGCCAGAACACCAGTAGCCGGTGCCTGGGTGGGTGGTCTGATCTCGAGAACCAGGCAGAGGGGCAAGACACTGGCAGTGCATCGAGCGTCGCCCAGCACGGAGCGGCACGGAGCTGGGGGCGCCAGGGATGGCGGGCGAAGCGAAGGGAGAGGACCACGCCAATAGAGGGAGCGACGTGGGCCAGGGAGGCCACCAGGGCAGGACGCGCGCCAAGCCCAGAGGGCCTACTAGGCGCAAGCCGCTCTCGGCGACGCGCGCAGCCGGAGGGCAAATCAGGGGGCGTCGGGCGGGACGACCCAGGCGCCCCTCCGCAAGGGGGGGGCGGCGGTCTTCGCAGGGCTCAGATGGCCCCCCACTCTGGTGGGGGAGAGTCACTGCGTCAGGGCAATTGCCAGGCGCTTCCGAGACCACCGTTTCGAGAGGTGGACTGCTCGTAGCGACGTTTGTCTCATTCGTCCGCGGGAGAGCGGTTGTCTGCATTCTCTGGCCGGCTGCAGGGGGAGGGGGGATTTCCGCATAGGCGCACGATCCGAGAACAGACGGGCCCTCCCTGCAGCCAGAGGCGCACTCCGTAGCGGAAGCGCCCCGGCGCTCGGAGGGCCTGCTGCCGCACGAGTGGGGAGGATCGCAAGGCTTGTCCGACGTCGCTTGCTTCTCGCCCCCTCCGCCGGGGGGACCGGGTCAGGAACCGGGGCCAGGGCGGAGCGAACCAGGCGCCCCGGGGCTTTCTCAGGAGGGAAAAAAACACACAGACATTATTCACTGCGTGGAGCTCCCCATATGTGCATCTACTCGCATGGACCTGTCCGCCGTGAATGTCTAGGCGCAAGAGCTTTCGAATATTAACGGGCTTCAGTTGTGACGGTCTGGACATCAATCTAACTGCGAATGAATTGGAGTGTGAATGAGCCTCAGTAGTACGAGCGCGTCTCTGTGCATGAGCCTGGGGCCTCCTGGGGCCTCCTGAAACCTACTGGGGCTTCCTGGGGTCTCCAGGAGCCTCTTGGGACCTCCTGGGACCTCCTAGGAAGGTTTCGTGCCCCAGGGGAGGCGCAATCTATAGCAACAGACGTACATAAAACATTGCGGATTAGAGCCACAGGAGAAGGGCAATCTATAGGAACACGCGTAAAACACCAAGGACTCGTGCCCCAGGAGAGGCCCAATACATAGGAACATGAGTAAAACATTTAGGATTGTGTACACAGGAGAAGGACCATCTATAGAAACATACGTAGAACATCAAAGAATCGTGCTCCAGGTGAGGCCCAATCGATAGGAGCATACGTAAAACACATGGGATTGGAGCCACTCCTGTTGCCTTCTGAGGCCTCCTGCTCCTGGGGCCTCTCGGGGCCTCCTGTTGCCTTCCGAGGCCTCCTGGCGCTTCCTGTTGTCTCCTGGGGTCTCCTGTGGTTTCCTGAGGCCTTCTGGAGCTTCCTGGGGCCTCCTGGAGCCTCTTGGGACATCCTGTGGCCTCTTGAGTCTTTCTGTGGCCTCCTGATGCCTCCTGGGACCTCATGTGGTCTCCTGGAGCCTCCTGGAGCCTGTTGGAGCCTCCTGTGGCATCCTGAGAAGAATCTGCGCCCACGAGCCTGGCCACCAAAACTAACAAACCGATCGAGACATCCTCAAAATCTGGCCCACCTGGGGGGTGAAAATGAGCGCCTCGCTCGAGACATCCTCCAAATCTGCTCCGAAAGCGAAGGATGTTGGGCACAGAAACAGGCAAACCGCCTGAGACATCCCCACAAAATGGCCGCGAACGAGCCCGTGCAACCACCCCTGGCGGCTCCCCTTAGGGGTGCTGAAATGAGCGCCTCGCTCGAGACATCCTCCAAATCTGCTCCGAAAGCGAAGGATGTTGGGCACAGAAACAGGCAAACCGCCTGAGACATCCCCACAAAATGGCCGCGAACGAGCCCGTGCAACCACCCCTGGCGGCTCCCCTTAGGGGTGCTGAAATGAGCGCCTCGCTCGAGACATCCTCCAAATCTGCTCCGAAAGCGAAGGATGTTGGGCACAGAAACAGGCAAACCGCCTGAGACATCCCCACAAAATGGCCGCGAACGAGCCCGTGCAACCACCCCTGGCGGCTCCCCTTAGGGGTGCTGAAATGAGCGCCTCGCTCGAGACATCCTCCAAATCTGCTCCGAAAGCGAAGGATGTTGGGCACAGAAACAGGCAAACCGCCTGAGACATCCCCACAAAATGGCCGCGAACGAGCCCGTGCAACCACCCCTGGCGGCTCCCCTTAGGGGTGCTGAGTATGAGTAAGTCTGTGTATGAGTAAGTCTGTGTATGTGTACGTCTGGGTATGACTAATACTGTGTATGAGTAAGTCTGTGTATGAGTAAGTCTGTAGATGAGTATGTCTGAGTGTGAGTAAATATGAGTATGAGTAGGTCTGAGTATGAGTAAGTCTGAGTATGAGTAAGTCTGTGTATGAGCAAGTCTGAGTATGTCCGACAGGAGGGGACGAGAAAAGAGGAGGAGGAAGAAGGAGGAGGAGTAGGAGGCGTCCAAGTAATAACAAGAACCCCATCTTAGGATATGGGGAACAATTAATCGTCGACTCCCAGGAAAATCTGGGAAAATATGGGAAGTGGTGGGGAAGACAGAAACCCAGAAAATATGAGAAAATATGGGGGAATCTTTTTATTTGTGTGTATTTATTTGTGTGTCCTGGGGCCCCTCCGGGGCCAGGGCGGAGCGAACCAGGCGCCCCGGGGCTTTCGTCGAGATGCGCAGCAGCTGCAGGGGCACTGCCCCTGGGACCCCCGGGCGCTGCTCTCGGCCCGGACCTCAGCGGGGCCCCCGGGTTCCTTCCGACCCCCTCCAGCGCCACGGGGCGCCGGTGCTGGCGCCCCGGGAGAGCTCGCGGCGACGCGAGCATCCGGGGGAATGTCGGCGAGGCGGTCGTCGGGCGGGACAAGCCGGAGAGCTCTCAGCAAGTGGCGCAGCGGCGAGAAAGGGGCCCACCTGGGCGTGGCCGGGGGCAGTCCGAGCGTCAGCTCCCACACGGTGGCTGCCGCCGGGGCGCCTGTGCCCTCCGTCTCACCAGCTCGAAAGGTCTCCAGTGCGCCCCTCTGGGCTCGGGGGTAGCACCGCAGTCTGGCGGGGGGGAGCGGCAGCGTCGGCGCTGTGACCCTGCGGGATTCGGAGAGCGACGCATGCCTCGCGCTTACTCGGGAACGCCATCTCCAAGCGAAGTGCCTGGAGCGGGGGCGAGGGCGACAGGTCGCGCGCTCGCGCGCGGCCCCAAACGACTTGGCGAGCGAAGACCATGCGCCACGCTGGGGCCAGAGCGCGACCCTCAAGAGAAGCCTGCACGTTGCCAACGCGAGAGTTGCATCTCTGCCCGCTCGCGCGTTCAGGACTTGGCGAAAGAAGAATGTGCGCTGCACCCAGGTGTCAGCTCAGTTGTAACAAGGAAAAGAGCGCGGCGCCGAGGAGACAACAACTGTTCGCCCTCTCGTGCGGAACGTACGCCGCGTGCCACTCCTGCCATGCATTTTGCAACGCCCACGACAAAGAGCCCATGCTGAGGGGAAAAACGTTGACAGCGCATTGTTTTCACATGTCGGGTGGGAGGGCCCAGAAGGGGGCGCTACCGACCTGCAAAGTGGCAAGATAGGAGCATGCACGGATAAGGGGCTAAGGATGGGCGGAGGACGAAGAGAAGAGGAATAATACAATGTGGAGGTGGGGGGTGGGAAGAGCAAGGCGACAGGGAGTAGGAGGAGCAGCAGG